CGCAAATTTTACCCCTACCGAAACCAAAGATGTATACACATCAAAAAAAGCATAGAAATTTTAAAAATGATCTTATCATAGAAAAAGCACCAACTTGCGAAAAAAATATTCATTGAAAACAAAAAGCAGGGATTAGTTTCTTCGAATTTTGGCAAGTATAAAAGTAGATAGTAAAGCCATAAAAAAATTTGCGAAAGCATTAAGAAAAAAATATTAAACTAATATAATAGTAAAAATGAGGAGGCGAAATGCGAAAATGAGTAAGACCCCTTTTAGCTTTTTGAATTAGATTTCCCAGCAATATTTTGAGTATGCTGTTTTGTAGCCCATAGAATTCTTGTAGAACAAAGTATAAGTTTCAAATAGCTAAAAATTACCGTTGATTTTTTAAAATACTGTTTGTTGACGATATTACGGGTTTCTTCCATATAAAAATAAATTGTGTGTATTCGTTATATGGAAACAAATGGGCAAAAAAAAAGTCCAAAAAATCAACCGTAATTTTTGTTTGAAACTTGGATTTGCACGGAATGATGATTAGGAATGAACTATATTTTTATAAAAAAATATCCAAAACTAAATAACAACCAAAGTAATATGTATATCAGCTTTTTCAAAATGAATTCAAGGATTTTAACATTAGCAAAAAAAAACAAATTTTGTGCGTGCCGACCAATATCAACGGGAATAAGGTCACTTGACACTATTCGCGCTCGCGCCAAATTTTTGGTGACTTTATTTCGCTTTTGGAAAGGAAATAATGTCAATTGTCCTTATTTCGCACCATTATGCGAAATAGTATTATTTCCGTTGATGTTGTCATCTGTCACCCACTAGCTACTCAGGCCTTAATTATTTACTATAAAACCTCGTATTTACATTAAAAAACGAGTGTGTTTAAATTCTTAAACAACAAATTTTACGTCAGTGGAAAAAATTGGAATGTCCGAACGGGAGCGTCCGAACAACTTTGTACAGTTTTTGACAGCTATTAAACATCGTTGGGAAGTTTAAGTGGACGCAATGGTTATGGCTGCTTATTATTCTAACAACCATTCATACATTATTTTTTTGTACCACTCACAGATACGCAGAATTTTGCAAGAATCATCAGTCATCTTCGATACGAGTTCCATTTTGGAAACGTCCGTATTGATGATGACTACCAGTGTTGCCAGAACTTTTCAGGGCGACCGGCTAGATTGGACAAAAAAAACGGCTAAAAACGGCTAAAATGTTTCAACCAGAATTAATTTTTTTTTAAATACATAAACTACAATTAGAAAGACTAGTCAATCCATTGAATTTTTTTTTGGTTAATAAAGATTATTTATACGTAGGTAAGCTGTACACTACTTTATTTTTGTTTAACAAAGGAAACTGTCGTTATACGTAGCTAAGCTTTACATCAGAAGTCATGTTTGTATTACTTAAATATAAAAACAGAGATAAATTACAAAGTTATCGCGTTTTCTTTTCTATTAAACAATTTCGCCTTCTTATAAATATTGGATCATTTTCAGTAGGTTGCTTTTTGTCCCGCAAAATAGCTATATTAGCTGAAAGTCGGAGGGCAATATTTTGAGAAATGAACACGTAAAGCTGTGAAAGCAGAAGGCATTGACATTCATTGTTGTTGCCGACCACTTCACTTTTAACAAGTTTATGACATTTAACTAAAATCATGCCACCAGATTCACTAGCAGAAAATTTTTGTTTCTTAAAAAAGTAGAAAAATTTGAGAATTTGAAGTCAGTGAAGTTGGATGAAAATATTAAGTGTTGCGCGTTTCCAAACTGCCAGAATTCGGTACACCTGAGCAAACGTTCGAATATAAAGTTTTTTGCTTTTCCGAGGTAGGGTACGTAGGTTGATAACAAATTGCTGACGCAAAATATCTTTAAACCTCTGAAAGATGTACCATTTTCCGTGGAACAGGAAAGAGGTCGAGTTAAAATGGTGCCTGCAACTTGTAACAGTACCAATTATCGGATGCTCGGATTTTGATAAAGATGTGGTGCTGCTAAAAATATATATACAAAAATATAAGCACGAAACTACGTATTTGTCACACGAATTATCCACATAAGATGAAAACTACTGCAGTTTTATTTTATAAAATTAAAAAGGTATGTTTGCACCATGTATTGTCTTCCCAGAGAGTTTTGCTCCACATCGAAATTCGTGCTCTTTTATTTTCTAAGTGTAGCGAATAAAACTTCACACTTAAATTTAAGGCATTCATAACAAAAATTTTATGCAGAAAATTCCCGCTACGTTCTCCCAAATATATACTGGGACGCAAAATTTAAGCAAGTTTTGCCTATTTTTCTTTAGTTTATTTAATATTTATTATTTTTTATGAATATGTAGCACATTACTTAACAAACAACATATACTACAAACAGATTTCACACTTGGTGTAAAAATTATGAAAATTGTGGAAAATTTCAACAAAACTTGTAACTTTTTAATCTGCTAAAATGACGCCTCCCAGTTTATGTGTATTTGGGTCACTCGCTTAAAACAAAAAACATTGAAATCGGCTCACTATCTGATTGTTTTTCAATTTTACATAACACAGTCCGACATGAAAATTTTCTCAGAGATAAGACTAGCCATTTCTAATAGATTCTGGAGCACTAAATTTGTAAAAATAAAAACTTGTATATTTGAATTTTAATAAAATAAGGCGAAGAGCAAAATCGGCTAAAAACGGCTAATTTTTTTTTGCAAAACGGCTAACAAATCGGCTGCCGGCTAAATCGAATTTTTTCCGGCTGTTTGTTGTCGCAACCGGCTAAATCTAGCCGGAAAACGGCTAAAATGGCAACGCTGATGACTACTCATGACAAAAAATGTGTGCATTCAGAGCCTAGTATAGTTTTTTATGATGAAAAAAGTGTCTCCAAACGGAACGTCCGTAACGCAGGAAACACCCATATGCATACATACAAGAAGCACTTGTTTCAAAAAAATTTTAAGTAAAAATTTTAGAAAATTTGATTTTATTCGGAGTCAGTGCCGTCCAATTCGCTGCTGTCATCCGATTCGCTGTTAACATCCGAATGCTCTTCATCATCATCGATATCTTCAACAGTCCCTGCAAAAAATTGTGCGACTAATCTCTAAAGAGAGTATTCCGAGATTACTCTCAATCGGGTACAATTGGGCATTAATTAGTCCCAACTATGGCTGCCACTCGCGAACATTTTTTTCCACCAAAATCTCTTAAGAAAAGTTACCAAAAGTTACCAAATCTTCACTACCAAAATCTTCACTTCTTCACTCTGAAAAAAATATACTATATATCATAACAAATATGTATACATATGTATTTTTGAGGTTGCCCGTTCAGAGCTAAAAGTTTTTCCCAATTGGGCTCTAATAAAACTTAAATATTGCGCAATACTCAGAGCTAGAGCTAGTTATTTTTAATTATAATTTTGCATGGCTAATCTCTTTTTCTAATAACAGATT